GTGAATATTTTTTCAGGATTCTTTAGAAAGATCAGCATTTAATTGAACAAAATATTTTGTAATATTATAAACGTTTTGATTGTTTGATACTATTTATTATTTATTTTTATCTAAAAGAAAAAGCATACTGACACCACAGTGTATGATCAGTGAAAATATAATTATGTAAAATTTAATAAATACAGTAAAATAAACACAGATATCAAACACCCACAGACGACAGAAAAGACTAATGTGACTTCCATTTTCTTTCAACTAGCTCATGGGAAAAGACAATGCAATAACCAGCATTATAAATGGAACAGATTTGTGTTCATCTGCCAGCATAAGTCTTCCTGAAGACTGACTGGAATCAACGATTTCCCTGGGCTCATTAGAGACTAGATGTGTAGAGAGATGTCATATAAACAGTCCAGCATTGGAAAGCCACAATGAAAATCAACACTGTTGGGAACGCTCTTATCAGGGGTGCTGTGCTATTTATAGACAGAAGAAAAAAGAAAAAAAAACTTGAATGCCATCCAAGTTAAGAGACGGTTACATTTGTGTCATTAATACAACACACTCATAGTGTTAAAAATGCAGATCAATTTCAGGCCAACCATAAAACTCAATCTTCACAAGCTTAAACTGGATGCTCAGTGAATACCATATGAATGAGAATAAACCTTAATTTGAAACTTCCATATTTAAAGACCACAACAACACTATACTGTTAAAAAATATATTTTTAAAAGTTTAAGGCAGCTTGCTGCACAGCACTTTTGAGTTGACTCAACTTTTAACCCAATTATGCACTTGAACTAATTTAAGTTGTCAACTAAAAAAAATTCTGCAGCAAGTTGCCTTACAATTTTAATTTGAGTCAAATCTTTACAGCGTATTCCACCAGTTAGTGCTCTACAATAGCATCCAATAAGATAATATTTATAAAGCATACAATTCTATTTTATTCTGTTTTGCATCATAAGACTTTTACAAATCCTTTTCATTGGATGATACAGTATTTTAGCAGACCCTAAACAGTGGATCCCTGCTGGCTTTAAAACCTTTTTAGACGCAACCACGTTTCTAATGACACCACAGTGTCAAATGAAATGTCACAGAACATTAGTCTAAGTGTAAGGTACTTCAGCGCTGGTAACCCCATGACTTTCCTCTTTTACACCCACAGGCCAAACAACCCCCTATTATTATTACCATCATTCATTTTAAGAGGAGCAGTGATTTTGTTATCTGTGCTTTACTGTACTCTACCTGTACTGAACAACTAAAACAAGTTTTCATTTTAACACTTAAATCTTACTTTTTTTTCTAATTTTCATAACAATTTCTACATCATTAATTTAGGGGCCTCTTAGATTAGATTTCTATATTTTCCAATGTCATTCCTGCCAACATGCCAAAGTCTCTTTTGTTGCTGTTACCTAATTACCGTCTAATGCATTCTCCAGATAAAAAGTATTATTTTCCTTCGCAGCTCCTTTTCATCCAAACCACCCAGAGGTATTTATATCCCTCATCTGCTGCTTTCAGTTTGAACTGAATTGCAAGTTCATGCTTTCTGTGTGCCATCTGTTCCAGTCTGAGGTGCTCTCGGCCAAGAGAAACCCTCATTTCAGCACCTAGCGCTCAACAAGAGCACACACAGTGATACACAATGGCATCTGCCAACAACATCTCAGCCAATTCAAAAACCCAGTATATTTGTCTAAGAAAGGCAGAAAATACACTTGTGTATCATCTGTTATATATTATTAGTACTGCTCTGTTTCAAACATTTGAAAACTTTGCCAACACTGAAAAACACACTATCAAATGAACAACCCAGGCTCATCATTGATACATGCATTTCTGGAGATCACAAAATACATCTCAGCAGGTATGTTTTTTTTTGCAGTTTTTGCTTTCGTGAATCCGCTGTGTAAGATTTTTCAGATCTCAAATTTCTTTCATTCGCACCTGCTGTTCTTGCCGAAATCCACCAGAGGCTGCTGTCGACTGACTGACTGACCTAACGACGATATCCTCCAACCATCCTCTTGCCTAGGCCAGACCGATAGTGTTTTCAAAAGCAATCCAGAAAAAAAAGCCCTAGCCTGACTATTACCATACTTTCAGCTCTTACCACATTCTCACCCTGTTGTTTATTTGTTAATTTGATTTTTTAACTTTTGTTTTTGTTCTACTGGCTTTCTGTAACTGTTCTTTGCCGGAACCCTGTCATAGTGGTCAACTACTCTCTGCATCTCAAGTCTGCCAACATACATGGTGAGCTACTGGGCAAACTAGTAAGAGCGGTCAGCTGGTAGCATAAAAAAAAACCGAAGCCATAGCGGCGTCATACCGCCCTGTACCATTCATTTTAAAGATGAAATGCAGCCATACGTTGCTCTGGCTACATAATTCACACTATCCAGAAATGTATACAGGGGTACGTTTTCACAATGAGCCTGTGTAAAAAAATTAAGCATTACGTTGATGACAACACTTCTCATCAGTCTGAAATGACGACAGACAGTTTACTCATCTTTATCAAATCCTGTGGTTCTTTACTCCCTTACTTTTTAAGAGCATTTGATTAATAGAAAATTGTTAATACTGTAAGAAAAATTGTCTTGCATAATTACAAAACACTTAAATAATTAAAGTTAATTAGATTTCTCTAGGGATATGGTGATTTTTATGTATTTGTACAAGCTGTTTGATTCATTACATTGAACTAAAATGGTAATTTAAAATAAATAAAACATATATATATATATATATATATATATATATATATATATATATATATATATACACTGTAATAAAGAATAGAACATATTTAATACAAATTCATTTTTTTCACAGTGTTTTTTCTTTAAGACTTAATGAAAAATAAAAATGAGTGGGGGGTGGACCATTTTAAATATAGATCATTTTAAAAAGGTGGCTCTGAAAAATGGTCTTTCTTTATATCCTGTTTTAATTATGCAATAAATAATATTAAATGTGAACTACATCAATAATTATATTTTATTAGGAGATTCTATATTTTTTTTTACCTTTTATTATTAATTTTATTATTATATATTATTAATATTATTAATTTATTATTAATTTATTATTAATTCATTGATTGATTAATTGGCAGTTCATATATCTTAACCATATTTTCTCTTCCCAATATAAACTTTAAGTTTTAAGTTGGTCACTTTTATATTCATAAAAATATTATAAAGTCCCAAAAATGTTGGTTAAGAAGAACCATTTGCATTTTAGTCTGAAGAACATCCAAATGTAAAAAATATAGATATACATTTTTTTCACAATAAAGAACCTTTTGTGCAATGCAATAAAACTTCTCAATCTGAACAATCCAGAAGTAGCAACAGCCCAGTATCGCATGTGTTCACACTCAGAACAAAGTCTCCAGCACTAAACTGGAATTCTCCCTGGCAGATCAGTAAATAGCACCCAGGCCGCCTGTCTCCTGCCAAATAATATTCATCCTCTTAAGTTACAAGGATCCTCCTAATGCGATACTCAACCATACATCTTGATTCATATGCAGAATACACACACTTCTTTATTCCTTATGACAAACCCTCACACCTGTGAAGTACTTTTATAGAAACTCCTCCTGTTGAGCCACCAGACAAACAGAACAAAAGTGAGTACTGGGTACCACCTGTCACTCCACATTGACTGACTGGGCCCTGTGCTACTGGCCTTTTCCTGTACCCAAGACAAACAGACCTGCCACAGACACCTCTTGATTTAGATATTCTTAGTAACCAGTACAGTGAGGCCAAGTGGCTGTCAAAAGCTGCAAATAAAAAGCCTAGAAGAGCGTCAGAGGATTCCATTGTGCATTACGATACTGCTGAGAGTGTTTACGTCACTATAATATGACCAATGCTGTGAATAGTGGCAGGCGCTCTTTCTCCTGACCACAGGCTATGTTGACAGAGGTGCCAAAATGGCAGTGTATCATCCCACTGTGCCACTGTTCGACTTCTTTTTTTTTCTAGCACAAGAGCATCTATTTTTTCAAGAGCCTCTAATGCCTGCAACATACTGGGCCAGTGAATCTGTCCTCACTAGACATCTGAGAATAGGAAGGTGCATTTGGACTGTGCTCTTATTTGACAGATACTCCAACACAACCTCACTGACAGATTCATCATGGTCAAATGCACTCATGCCAATGATATATTTTAATGTTCTCTGGTCTATTGCCTTTATGCTTGCAAGACGTAGACTGCCTCCAGGAGCACTTGAAGAGCTGTAATTACTTGTGTACAAGGAGAATTCGCCTTCTGTGATATGACCTTCCCATCTCTCACAACAACATTGGCAAAATAAATGTCCTTCTGAGCTCATTTATGCTGAATTCCTTGTATATATCGAACCACAATTTCACAGAAACAGCTGCTCAAAAGAAGCATTAGCTATCAGACCTCATGAATAACAGCAGAGCAAAGAAGAATCGACTTGAGTGTAATGAACTGACACTACAATCAATACTGTACATCTACATTGAAAATATGGATTTACAGGATGCTTAATAAAGAAGCATTGGAGAAAGACTATGAAACCATTCAGAAAAAAACATTTTGCAACATCAAAAGTCAATGCAGGATCAAAAATGAATGAAAAAAAACACAATTGTCCAAATCAAAATCTATACAGCATTATTCTACAGAAAAGTCATGTGATGAATAAAATCACCATTCATAACAAACAGCTCTGGATCACCATAAGATGTATACAGGACCAATTCAGCAATACATGCATGAATGAACTTCAAATCATCAAGTATAATTGAGTGCCATATTATTAAAGTATTTCAATGAGCATCAATTTGGTTAAATAAATTTTAAAATGAACTGGAATTGAATTCATGTAAATGTGCATCAGACGACGTTTGTTAAAATCTCAGTAAATTCAGATGCAAATCACTAATGCCGAACCAATAAATAGCTGCCTGTTTGGCCAAGATTTGGGAGTCTTACCCTAGAAACGGTGAGGGGCATATTGAAGTCCTTGCCTCCTTGCAACCGGAAGCCCCAAGGTGGAGGTCCAGAGAGTGACACGTTGTACGAAGTCATTGTTCAAAAAAGCCTTTGTATTGTTTAAGCAACAGAATTTCTCCAAATGGATGGGGAAAATGGATTTGGGAGGGGGCGGGGCACGTACCAAACAGCCTCTGAAAAAAGAAGAAGAAAAAAATGTGTAAAATGCAGGTAACACTCACACCTCTCCAACACGAAAATTAAAAAATCTCCAGGCCAAGCAGGTCAAGATAACCAGCGTAAAGTAATGAATTTAGGCCCACCCAAACTGCAAAGTAGCAACAGAGAAGAGCTACTGTATGAGCTAGAGGAAGAGTTTTCTTGCCTGCTCAGATGAACTGGACAGACAGCCTAAGAATAGCTGCCCCTCTGCCGAGAGCGATAGCACTATAACATTGTGGGGAGGGGGGAGAAATGGTACTTATATGGCATGTAAGGGGACACCCAGAATGCCAGGCCTCCCATGATTCACAGGGCTAATATAGTCCCCTCTCAGACTAAAAGATTTTTCTCGACTCCTTTTCTTCTTGGGTGCCTCATTTATCAATATCATGTAAATCTGTGTCATGTAAATCATATGAAAATTGAATTCATATTGGTAAAGGAGTTCAATTTCTTGCAAATGCAACCTGGCTGATTCTGATAAAGGGTTAACAAAAGGTTAGAGTTAATTGGCAATCCTTGCGGACACAAACACGCTTATCTCATGCATTCACAATGCATTCTGGGACTGAACTGTGTTGCCCTGTTTAAATTACCGGTAAGTGCCTTAAAATTTCATCATCATTCTTCATGCATTGAAATTTGAACACAGTTAAAGTCAGAATTACTAGCCCCCCTGAATTCATTTATTTTTCTCCAATTTCTGTTTAACAGAGAGTAGATCTTTTCAACAGATTTCTAAACTTAATAGTTTTAATAACTCATTTCTAATAACTGATTTATTTTATCTTTGCCATGATGACAGTAAATAATATTTTACAAGATTAGATATTATTCAAGACACTTCTATACAGCTTAAAATGACATTTAAAGGTTTAACTGGGTTAACTAGGCAGGATAGGGTAATTAGTCAAGTTAAGAGTGGTTTGTTCTGTAGACTATCGAGAAAAAAAATAGCTTAAAGGGGCTAATAATTTTGACATTAAAATGGCTTTTAAAAATGTAAAACTGTTTTTATTCTAGCCAAAATAAAACAAACAAGACTTTCTCCATAGGAAAAAATATTAGACATACTGTGAAAATTTCCTTTCTCTGTTAAACATCATTTGGAAAATAATTAAAACGAAACAAAAAAAAAATTCAAAGGGGGCTAATAAATCGGACTTCAACTGTACACTACTGAGTCAGTATACATACTTAAGAAATAATATTTTTATTTAGCAAGTATGCTTTAATTTAAACAAAAATCAAAATAAATACTGTAATTAATTATAAATAAAAAGATTTTAAATAAATGAATGATTCCTGAAGGACCATGTGAAACTGAAGCCTGAAGTATTGATGCTACAAATTCAACATTGTCATCACATTAATTATATTATATTAAACATCATTATAAATTTGCACAAGTGTACTGATCATCAAATAAATGCAGCCTTGGTTCCAACAAGTGCAGCTTCATGAATAATTTAACCTAAGATCCAATCAATACCTTTAAAATCATAGCAACTGTTAAAGCATTTCACTGCCTCTTTTTTAATATGAACATGTCAGAATTGTATAAGATAAGATTTTTCCTTTTTCTTTATTGCACATGAACCACAAATGGCATATATATTAGATAATCCCATACCAAACTTTATTATTGAGCAGCAGCTTTAGGCAAAGAATGAGTGGCATTGAGAAATGCCTGATATGCTCTTATTGCTCTCAGAGAATTGAGATAAGAGAACCTGTTGTGCTCCAGCTCTCTCTGCCATCACAAGGCCTGCGCTGAGACATCGGAGGAAAGATAACCACTAAGGACCTGCCTGTTTGCCTGGCCTAATTTGGGAGACCTCTAGTTAGCAGCTAAGTTTAGCCCTCTTTGTCAATGGAAGAATTTGAAGTAATACTGTACATGAATGCTCAACAATCAGGCCTTCGTAAGCGGCATTTCAGAGAACAAGCATGCCAGTCCTGGACAGTGTGTGACACGGTTCTGATACGCTGCTGCTCATTATGGTGTCTTGACCAAGATGACATACTGCTACAGCAAAAACTGATCTGCCTCTCGATTTAACTATTTACAAAAGCATGAAAAGATAAAGGATTAATGAATGTCAAAGAAAATGTGTTGTCAGACATAAAAAATAAGCGTAATAATGATTTATTTGTTTATTTTCTAGATTTGAATGCATCCTGCTTAATTTTCTGTTCTTCTGAGCCCATTTATTTATTGTTTCTTATATAAACACCAACAAAATAATTTTGATTTAGAACAAGAATCATTTTATTACCTATTAAAATATTCCATTTAGGATCACAATAGTGTAGCTTCATTAAAAATAAAAAAATATATTATCGCTACTTATTTGTAACTTAAAAACTTAATACTTTGTCACTATAGACCAGGGGTCACCAATCTCGGTCCTGGAGGGCCGGTGTCCCTGCAGGGTTTAGCTCCAACTTGCTTCAACACACCTGCCTGGATGATTCAAGTATACCTAGTAAGACCTTGATTAGCTTGTTCAGGTGTGTTTGATTAGGGTTGGAGCTAAAATCTGCAGGACACCGGCCCTCCAGGAACAAGTTTGGTGACCACTGCTATAGACCATTTTGAGGAATGTAAACAAAAACAGTGGTCCCAACGCATTTTCTGTTTTACATTTTTAATTCCTATAGCTTCAGAGAATGCAAAAAGAGCCACATATTGATAAATAACATTATAATAGCTGTTTTAACATTTAAATTTACTCTTGGTAAAGTTATGAAATAGTTTGATAACAAGCAGGAAATGTTCATGCATGGACCAATGACATGACCACATTAAAATGGTCTACACTTAAAACCACAAGGTTTTGCCCATTTGTCAGCAAGACATTTTTATTCATTTAAAATATAACAGAATTATTACAATCACTTATTATTTTATATACTTTATGTTCATCACAATATACAGTATCTATGTTGCTAAATGTATTTGTTATAATGAATGATGATGGAGCATTTTTACTACAATAATTATTTATAGTCATTTCGCGTTCACTACTTCTATTTTTTTATATATATTTATTATCTGTTTCTTGTCCTGTCTCTGTAATTCTGTTGCACAGTAGAAGCTCTGTCACGAAAACAAATTCCTCGTATGTGTGAACATACCTGGCAATAAAGCTCTTTCTGAGCTCTTTTCAGATTTAAAACATTAAAGAAGATGCTTTGCTTTATTTGAATATGCTTCTTTAGTATATAAATTAATTTTTGTAAATATAATTTGACCCACACATTGTCTCTTCATAAGACATTTTGAATAGATCACATTTTATCATTTGTTAGCAGACCAAAAGAGTTGAAAGGAAATCAACATATTCTAAATAAATAATTCACCCAGGTTTACCAGCAAAACATAGACGATACCTGATCTATGCAAAAACAATTTTACACCTGCTCACAATGTATATACTGTAGCTACGATAAACACATACCAGACTGAGGATATACAGTAAGTCTTTGACCAGTTTCTTTGAAACATGCTAAATAATATTTCATGCAAATCTACACATAAGCCAAGACACATCAAAGCACATGAGCATCACTCACTCATTCCATGTAGCAGTATCAAAACCAGAAATAAACATGGCAACGAATTTAAAATGACATAAAAAACGCCAAAGGCAGCTGAAAAAAAGTGTATTTCAGCTTCTAATTGTATTTACAGTCATAAACTGCTAGGTGAGTGAATAATATATAAACAATTAAGAGTAAATGTAAATGTTTTCACGCGACTAAGCGTCTCGAGTGCAGTGTGAAGCCTGCTGCCTCATTTCCATTAAACAAACAACTTCTCAAAGTTTAGCTAAAACCTACATTGCATGCTAAAAGTTGCTTAACACTGACAGCCGCAAACCTTGCAGTTTCTAGTCGCTCAGTTTCCCCCGGACACGAGTTCTGTCACTCACGCCAGATCCCTGCAAGCCCCGGTCTACATAAAGCACAGAGGACACAACTTGACCAATGATACTATGACGAAGGCTTTGCTCATGAATATTAATCAAGGTGTGAGCGGCGTTCCACCTTCATGTCTACTTGATTCGCAGAAACGCAAACTCTGAACTAATCGCCTAGTGAATTAACGAATCACTGTTTAGTGACTGTTTAGTTATTGAATATTAATTAGGTTTTGTGAGAGACAGTTTAGTGGTGTTACCAAGCAACGCCAGAGCGATCTAATAAATATTAAAGAGCTAAATCTTTTTCTCCCATAGTAGGATTGGTAATTTCCCACACGGGACAGGAAGGTGGAGGCGAGGGATTTTCATTAGAGAGGTATTATTAAAGAGACAGTCGTCCCTCATGTTGCCCTGTGGACTGTTTTAAAATTGAGCTTGAACATCCGACGCATAAAAAGAGGCTTAGTGGCTCCCAGACAGTCTGCAAGGCCCAATTTAATTTACAAATGTTTTGAATTAGAAGGTTTTGGGTTTTGCAGATTAAGGCAGCATGATTCTGGAAGTTCTGGCTTTAAGAGTGGAATATTGAAGTATTTATTATAAATGGTTTATCATTGCCTCATTGTAAACTTGTGCCTTATTATTATCAAAACAACATCCCCTAGTTTTTATAAGTCAATTTGTTACTTTAATTGTATAAACTACAACAAATAAAAATTATAACACAATAATACCGTTATAACAAGACATCCAAATAGAAATTAACAGAAAAAAATCTAGGCTTTCAATTTACATGACAAATATAACTACTACAGACAAGAATATGGAATTAGCCGATTTAAGTTGTTTTAATTTTTAATGGTAAATTACATCCTTTTTTAAAGGTGAAAATTGCAATATAATTGAGAGCTAAATGTAGTTAATGAATGTTATTTTATAGCCTCCACCAATGTTCAAGTAGCAGGGTCTGTGTATTTGAAGAGAGACCCCAGAAGACACAACAGTCACAGTGACTGAAAGAATGACTGCTGTTGGTGACACACTTGAGGGGGTTTTCATGCCACATCATGTTATGATGCAAATCCTTCCTCCCTGGAGAACAAACTATAAACTGCCAGAACTGAGGTAAGACAAAGACTCTAGTATACAAGATTTGAAACTTGAAAAAATACTTGAATGTAAAGGAGCCCAGCTAGCGATGTGCAGGTAAACCACACTCCTCTGACCTCTAGGTAAGGTGCTCTAACAACAGACACTAGAAGTCATGATCTTTAGCCTCCTTGTTAGAGCATCCCCGACTCTCATACAAAG